AAACTGAACAACTTTTACCTCAGGGTCACATCGAAATTCTTCACCAAATTCAACAAAAAAAAAACAAAGTTAAAAATAATGTTTTTATTTTTATATTTTTTAATGTTTTTGGCCCGGCCGGGCAAGTGACCCCGGGCCACTCTGGTAGCCTAGAAAATAACTTTAATTAATTCTTTTTCTCGTATATTTGACATTAATTTTCAAAAATTTTCTTGAAATACATCATAATCAATTAATTCCTTTTCGCAATTCTTTTTCGAAATTTTCTTTCGAAATTCCTTTTTTTTTTATATAATTCGGAAGTAATTTCCTTTTTTTTGCTATTCTGAATTCCTCAATTAATTTCGACTAAATTCAATTAATTCACGACTGAATTAATATTTTTATTCAAAATTAATCACCCTTTTTTCGAAATTTTAACCTCTTCTTCTTATAAAATTCCTGCAAAACACCTTTTGAATTCCACCAATTATTCTTAGAAAAAAAAAAACAACTAAAATTCAATTCCGAATTAATTCTTTTTTTGTGAATTTTATTTGGGAATTACCTTTATTGCTAAATCAATTGATGACGTTCTTCCGGGCATGCCACGTCCAACCAGAAACTCTCAACGCGCAGCCGCTGACGCCGCTGCTGCAGCTGCTGTTGCCACCTCATCCGCAGCTACCACCGCTTCCTCCCCCACCATGGCCCAATCATCCAGCATTGATATGTCCAGCATCTGCTCCAACTCCGTCGACAGCATCGCCCGCAACCTCGCAGGCGAGCAAACACCAGCACCCGATGTTGCCATCGACCTCGTGGCTCTTTTCCGCATGATGACATCTCTCCAGTCATCCATGGATGACATCAAAACATCCGTTTCCACCATCTCTGTTCGTGTGACCACCATTGAAAGTCACACCCCCGCCATCCAGGTCGTCACCACCACATCCCCCCCCCCTCACCTCAGGTGCCACCTCCCTTCCCCCATCCTCCGCCTCCACATCTACACCAATCACCCCGTCCCCCACGTCCACCGCCCTCTCCGCTAGCACGTCATCCACACCCTCGCCTTCATCCACCACTACCCCCACCTTGGTCACCAAGACGACAACCCCCGCCGTCACGCAGTCATCAACCATTCCCTCCCAGTCAAAACCCCTCGTGACTTCATCCACTATCACTTCCACCCATACCCAGATCACCCCCACACCTCAAGCCCTGCTCCCTGTTATCCCAATACCTCCTCCGTCCACACTCCTCCCAACCAATCCCACTACCGACTTCACCCGGGTACCGTCGTCCTCACCCAAACTTGATTTCAACACCCTCGGCACCACAACACCCTTAATGGGTAACATTCCCCCATCCTTCCGGTCAATGGATATCCCCCCCTTCACCGGCCTTCCTCATGAGGATGTCTTCGTCTTTCTCAGCAAACTATACAATGCCTTCTCCCTCCACAACGTCCCTGTCACACACCGGCTCCCTATTGCCAGCACCAGGCTACAGGAAGGCGCCGCTCGTTGGTGGTACACCGAACGAGCTAACCGCCAACACACAAACGAGGAACCCCATTCCTTCCTTCAGTGGGCCAACCTCAGCACCTGCACGTTTCGACTGCATAGGACAGTCGATGACTACTTTGAGCAACTCTGCTGCCTTCGACAGAACGGCCCGACTGACCGTTTTGTCCAATACGTCCGTGCGTTGCTGCAACATATCCCCCTTGACTACGTCAGCGATGCC